TATGTTCAGCCACCACTTTCTCTTGTTCATACTATTGTAATATTAGTAATGCATTTTAGTAGTGATCATCATATGTAAAAGTTGTGCATTACCTTTTCCATAGCATCGTTGGCTTTTTGCTGTAACGCGTTTAATTCCTTGGCTGCATACTCATGCTCCTTCACTTCATTACGTAATTTCTCGATAGTTAACCGCATTTCCGCCATCTCCTTGTCCTTGTTAGCGATGCCTTCCAGTCTAGTATGAATGGCAAATCCCGCTGCCTCACTCTTCTCGATTGAAGGTGTATCGGTTGCAGCTACACTAGCCAGTACCGATTCAACCGTTTGTTCATATCGAGCACACACCGATTCAAGGGCACGCTGCAAGTAACGCGTTTCCTTATTCTTCAATTCGGCCTCCTCCATCAATTCTGCATTCTATTGTACGTAAATATATGCATATATTATTAGTGAACTACTAGATGTAGCATACCCACAACTACTAATGGTTCATCTCACCTTTGCCTTATAATTCTCCATTTCCTCCATAATGGCCGTCCATTTGTTATCGAAATCTTTGGGTTGCTTATCATTTCTTTTTGCTCGTGCATCATCATCAGCTATATCCAGACGTCGAGTTAGTAATAAGATATACACGCATATCATGCTAGATACATACCAAATATTCCGATGTATCAATACGTTCATTGTGCTTCTTTGATAAACGATCGATAAGTGCGGTCAATTGCTCGATCTGCTTCTCTCGTTGAATCAGTCGTTGTACAACACCTGCTAGATTCTCCCGTTCACTAGGACGCCCAATAGTAAGTCGTTCGGGCTTCTCCTCACCATCAGGCTAATATTTTGTATGTGTATAAATGCTGGTTAGCATAATTATTGAATAAAATGTAATCAACAAGACACTTACACTATAGCGACGAGGTAGCGTATTTGTAAAGGTCATTTTCAACGATGTAAGCTCGGCCTCTTTTATATCATAAAGACGTTCAAATCTGTTTTTCTATTATTGCTCAATATTAATAAATAATCTACTAGTTACTAATACTGTGCGCATACTCACTTCTTCTTTGGCTTTCTTCATTTGTTCCGTAGCACTTGCTAGCTGATCCTCCAGACTAGATATACGATCAGCATCTTCGAATAGTTTTTCCGACGCTGCAGATTTGCCTAGAATATGTTGCACGGAATCGCGGAATTGTCGAATACACGCTGGCCATTCTATGTCATTGTTATAGGTAAGCATTGTTCACTATTCCTATCTATTCTACGACGCTTACCTTCATCCAAATGCTGCGCCTTAGATATTTGCTCGGTGAACTTTTCAATTAATACGGCCACGTCAGCGTGTGTCTCACTACATGTAAGCACGAGTGATTAGTAGCAGTTGTGATGATTTATCCATTCATTAATCAGCTTACGAGTCATTTCGTGATATGGCCATAGCGGAAAGGTAACGCACTGTAGCGGCTATTGATTGTCGTAGCGGGTGTTCTTTATCGAGACCATTAAACACGGTCGACAATGCAAATATCGGATCACTAATGGGATCATCGTTATTTCATTAGTAGGAATGTCATGTTTACATCCATTCATTCATTCATTTACTACTCCACTTACTCGTCGCTTATTACCAGGGACTCGCGTTGTTTCTCTTGTTGTTGTTCCCGTGCATCTTCAAGTGCATCCTCATCGTACACATCAAGTTGTTTCTTGAGTAAATCAGGTGGTAGTGCAGCACGAAGTGTCTATTTGCATTATTTTATATTAGTATTATTGCTACTAATATTCATATATAAATTAACATACCTTCAACATATCCTCAATACCTCGTCGTAGAAATTCACCTCGTAGTGCCACGCGTTCCTCTAGTGATTCGGGCGTGCCAATAATTGCATTGATCAAGGTGAGACATGCCGTCCTATACTCGAATCCCTCGTCGGTTTCATCGCCCAATGATTGTACGAGATATTCGAAGCGGAACTTTTCCTCATGAGCTACGCGGAAATCAGAGAATGCCGCCAATACAAGTTGATGTCCTTCGGCCGACAAGACACACAACGCTGCCAATACTTCGGCAACCAGTGTACGCAACTTATTACTGGCAGTGTAAGTACCGTAGGCAATATGAGCAACTAGGGTTCTCGATCCAAGTACTTGCTCGAAACCAGGCTCGGTGTTCATTAGTACGCGCAAACATCGAACACACTCCAATTGAGCATCGGTATCGAGATCAGTACCATCGACCGTGGCATTCGCGCTAATCACACGTATTGCATTGTTAGTCTATTGCAATCGGTATATGTATATGTCTAGACATCTGGATGACTTCTTACTTTCGCTTAGTGGCTGCCACTTGCGCCAATACCGAGTCTAGTGCCATTAAACCGCCAGCATCCAGGAATTCACGAATCCAGCCTAATTTGGCTGTAGATAATGTAACACGCAACGATAATAAATGCTTTACACGCGTACGTGATGATGTTTGTCTACATAAAAATATGCATATATGTACGTCAGTGAATACGTGTCATTATTGTTATAATAATTACAAATGCTCCTTACTTGTTTTGAAGTCGTTCCACATAGGAGATAGGCGTCGTGTCTTCCTCGTCATGCTTATCGGTGGTGTAGCCTAGCCAAGCACTTAGAAGACTGGTCACTCCACCACTACCTCCACCGCTAAATGAACCAGAACGGTTACGGCTGTGTCGTCCGCTAAAGCGACCATCGGCACTGGCTGTCTCTAGTCCACCAAGACCATCGGCTATCTCATTTTCCTCGTTATCATCCGCGGTAGTTGCATACATGGTGGATCGATTATGAGGCGCTGTACTTGCACTATTCATCACTCTCGGCTTATCTGCAAACGCAACACGATTCTCCTTTAACGAATTGAACGGTTGGTATAGTGCATTAACTGCGGCAGAAGCAACCGCTACCGCTGATGTTGTCACGGATGTAGACGAACTAGACGATATAGTCGATGCTTGGTCTGCTACCGCAGTAGAAGAGTCGGCGGTGATCGTGGAACTATTATCGAATGTCGATTGATGTGTCGAACCAGTGCGTTGCATAGCACTAACTTGATTATTCTGACGAATCAATGTACGCTTCCGTTCATCGTCCATCATTAGCATGCTTCGCCTTACTGATTCATCGCGCATATTCAAATCATCCTATAATGTCACACGCCCGTCTATTAGCATTACTCGATCGATCAATCAGTATAGCAGATGCAATACATTACCAGTAGTGCTGTAAATGTTGCCTGTAATGCTTCGCCTTCAAGTAGGGAAACCTCGTCGTCTATATGCTCCGTGCCAATAACGACAGAACTCCGTGCACCTCCTTTAGACCAATCTGCTCCGCTTTTCGGTCTGCTCTTACTCGTTTCCCCGCTAAACCAGCTACTCAATGGAGCAGATGCTAGCATGGAAGTGCGCTTCTGTGCCAGCTTGTCTATCTTGACGTTAAATCGCTCTTTTGGGTCTGCTGGTGTTTCACCATCGTCATCATCGCCTTCCGCGTCAGTAGTAGCAGACGAGGACGATGCAAACCCGAAGAAATTGTACATTGACAGTGGTCGTGCTCGATCATTGGCGCCTTTACCGCCTATCATCACCATTGATGTGGGTCGCGTAAATCGATCCGCCAAATGCGAGGTTAACGAGCCCATTCGCGATAGCCATGTAGCGGGCAAATGAACTACAAAACGATGCTGCCCAACTGTTTCGCGATGCACTTGCAACACTAGCTCCTCTTCATTAAGCAAGCGTGTATCTAATAACGAGTAATTGTTAGCGTATTTCCAATAAACATTGCTATTCTGCATCGCTTACGTTCTGCACCCTCCATATCGTTGAAGGTTAACGATAGAACATAGTCAATACCCGTTGGATTTGCAGAGTCCAAAGACGCTAGGCTATACTCATCCACGATATGCACCAGTAGATTGCGTACGTTCATTTGCGGTGTTATATAATAATCACGCTCATAATGGTCGGGTAGCTCGCCTACATTGCGAAACATTAAGCGTATATAATGATTGGTGTTTACCATAACGAACGGCGTAAAGTCGGCATCTTGCAGTACCGCGACATCGATATCGTCAGCATGTTGCGCTGAAAGTATCGTTTCGAGCTCTTTGAATACGTGTACATGTTCATCCAAAAAACTCACTAATTATATGTCATAATGATGTAAGTATATCATGCATACGCGTGCAAAGTTAAAGTTAACGAGCATAGTAGCTTACCGTTCTCCATAGTACGTAGCTCATTCAGTGAATATTTTTCTAGTATAGTCAAGATGGTTAGTGGTCACTACTTACCACTCTAGCAGAGTATTACTACTACTACGTCTACCCGTAACTTACTCGATTGTTTTACTTTTGGTAAAACACATAGTAACTTCCATTGATCCAATAATAGTGACTCGGACTGCTTCTCGTTGTTCAAAGATGTATCGGGATCGTAGCCGTCGAGATTCTCCGTGACTAGCTCACGTATAAGGTCGGCAACCGTGCCGTCCTCATCAAGAAAGGTGGCAAGCAGTGTGCCGTCAACGAGACGGACCTGTACAATGTCCTGTCGGCCCATAGCGCGGACACTGAAATACCACTACTAATGGCGAGCAGGAAACTTGTACAAGAACACCACGGCTTAGATGACAATCGTAGGATACACTAACGCTAATAATCAACGGGAAAGAAGACGGGACGCATGGAGCCCGGTAGGATAGGCTGTGGATATATAGAGTAGAGAATGAAAAGAAATGAAAAGAAAGTGGAGAAAGCTTGCCACCGCCGATAAGGATGCAGCGAATAAACGGCCTGCACCATTATTGTGTATCCGCTCTTCTTCTAGCATGATGTTAATAATGATGACAATGCTAAAATGATGATATGGATGATGAACTCGTCACAGGACGTACACAAACACAGACAACGCATGACCACAAGCTCACGTGACCATTATTAGCAAGCCGAAGCAAAAAGCATGCCTCCTGACGGGATCGAACCACCGGCCTTTCCGTTACGAGCGGAACGCTCTACCACTGAGCTAAAGAGGCTTCCATTTTTTGAAATGGAAAAAGTGCTATCTATTATAAATGCTTATTTTTGGCCATTTTCCAAAAAAGGAAATTTTTTGTAATTTTTTATTAGTCATCACTGCATTCTATACAAAAGTTGTAAACAAGTTAATGACGTAGTCACCTATACGTCTTTCGCTTTTCCTTAACACACATACCAAATGTCTATTCCTACATTGCCTCGCTTTCATACGCTAACATTGCTGCACAATCCAGCGTGTTCAAAGTCGCGCGCTGCATTGGCGTTACTGCAAGAGCGAGCGCCTAAAGCGAACCCACCTTTCGACCTTGATGTCGTTAACTACCTCGAGTCACCCTTGACTAAGAGTCAACTGCGTTCGCTAACATCTTACTTAGTTACTGGCAGCAATGATAGTAGTAATTTGCGACAATTGCTACGGGATGAACCAGAGATTGCTAGCACAGTAGGTACAACGCCTACTGCTGAACAACTGGTGCAAGTGCTTCATGAACATCCTGCCTGGATGCAACGACCCATTGCCGTGGATTGGGTACGCGGACGAGCAGTTATCGGTCGTCCACCCGAAGCAGTTCTCTCCATCACCGAGGGTGTTGGTCAAGACTAATAAACTAGTCGTGCACATTGTTTACACTTGAATATCATGCTGCTCTTATTTACACTAGTTGCTTTATTGTTCATCATGTATACTCGTATTTAATTACCAAATGCTAACATAAAATTGCGTAGCTTTTCATTGTCGACCCAGTCTACTTGACTTTCTAGGATAAGACCCTAATCAACGATGTATGTTAATACTGCTTATTCGCTAATAATCACTAGTAATACGTTACAAAGTATAAATGACGTAGCGTATTAATCTGACAGCCTAGTTCACCGAGTCTTTTATTCGATTCATCGAGTGAAGATGTCCTACAAGTGTGTCATCGTGAGTTAATGACAAAAATACATTATTACTAGTAGTAGCAATTGATAGTTACCTGAATGAATCGGTACAAAGTGATGTATCGCCAGTCTTCTCCTTTAGACTTTTAAATAGTTTCTCATTAATACGATGTTGCTCTACCGGCATGAGTAAATAAACAAGTGTATCATATACCGAATGCCAACCTACTAGATATCTTCATTGTTAATTCAGATGATTTTTGTTCAAGTGTCGCGATATTTTGTTGCAATTCATCATATTGCACGCTTGTTGACTGGATTGATCGAATTAGTCCAGATACTAAGCTACTCATTAAATACACATCATAATGCAATCATTAGTTATCTATAAATGATATACGTCTCCTATACTTACTAGGATGGATGACCCTTGTCGTTGTTCTTCTTCGCGGCAAATACCATTCTGTCAATAGTACGAACCATATTACGCCTATTGTTTACAATTAGTTTACGCTGATAATTAGAATTCAGTATACATAGATCTATGTGGATTTCACATTACATTTCATTGATTCGTCTCTTATAGGCATCCATGTGCACTAGCTTATTTTGAAGCTGGCGTCGTTCTTCAATTGTCTTGGCGAGATTATTCAATTTCTCGGCGGTTACATCGTGCTTGTGCAATTCAGGTTTACGCTCGGTCTCGCTAGTGTTTGGCAGGATGTTCGCTCGTTTGCTCGTCGCCACATAACGACTTGACGTATTGCCCGCTCTAGTCTTGCCGTGAGACTGACTAGCTTTGTTCACCTGTTTCCCTAATTATTAATGACAAGTAAGCTAACGATATAGTAGTGCTATGTATACATATACGTTATAACTTCTTACGCGCTATAAACACTGGTCGTCGTTGACGTGGTTGTCCTCGCGTATTTCGTCTATAATAACGCTTATGCGAACGGCTTGATGATAAGTCGACCCGCCTCTTACGCGTCAAGTTGACTATTTTCCGTTTATCATACGCGGTTACTCCCGTTTCAACACGAGTAAATAGGTCGAGTAATTCGCGAGCATTCTGATGTAACTGTATGGGCACTGTCATTTTGAAATAGTAAAGTAAAAATAAAAGTGGCCTTTTTCACTCTTTACTCGTTTGCATTCGTTTTCATATTGACAGTATTACGCGTTTTTGCCATGTTGGCCGCCACGAGAACAATGATCCGGGTGAGTAAGCACACGCACACATTGGTACGCCTGTGTGCTCGTCCGTATAGATCGTATACTGATCCTAAAGTAATAGCGCGTGAGTCTACGTGCCATATCCACCACGCAGTCTGCGCCGCTAAGTAAATCAGCAAGCGGTCCTTCCTTAACTCGACCTAACTATCGAATTAATATTGGTAAGTGGTCCAGGATTACCGCTACTATTAGTGCGACTATGGTACTTACTGCGCTGTAGGCGAGAGTAATGCTCGATCTCTTATGTTGAATGAATCTATGGGCCGAAACGCGGTAGCACCCGACCAACTCACTGTGGCACGTCTGCTTGCTAGCGGACTACACTTGGGACATGCGCAGGAGTTGTGGCATCCCCTCAATCTACCGTATATCTTTGGTACACGCGCCGGTATTCATGTCATCAATCTCGAAGTGACGCTAACCCATTTGCGACGTGCTTGTCGCGTGTTGCGTCAAGTGGCGCTGGACGATGGACTTATCCTATTTATCGGCACACGTCCCGGTCTGCAACACTTGCCCGTGATGGCCGCTCGACGATGCGGCGGCTACTACGTGGCACAACGATGGGTTGCCGGCACCATTACTAATGCACACAAGCTACTACATCGATCACAGGTGCAAAGTGGATCAGGACAAATGAACCAAGTAGCGTTGGAGACCGATGTCGACGCCATGTCATCCAATATTGATGATTACAACGATGCCAGCAGTTATACGGCCGGCGTATCATCTGATGCTGCCGGTATCGCACCGAGTAGACGCGATCGTACATCGGGTGAGTCACAGGGACAGGAGCAAGCTCGATTCCGTCGTAAGAAGTCGCCCATCTATCGACCTGATCTTATGGTGGTGTTGAATCCTTTGGAGAATCGCATTGCATTGGCCGAGGCACAACGAGCCAATATCCCCACCATTGGTCTCATCGACACGGATTGCGATCCACGCTTGGTCACCTATCCTATTCCAGGCAATGACGATAGTACACGCGCAGTAGAACTAATATCCGGCGTATTAAGCGTGGCAGCACGAAGTGGAGTCATGACACGGGAACGACTTATTAGCGAGAAGGAGAGCAGGGTACTGGAGGAGTCTACACAAGCACCATGGCATATTACTGATTAATTACGAAAAAAGCAACAACAACAACAATGCTTAGTTGAACACTAATCACATTCCATATTTGATTACACTATTTCACAAATAAATATCCGCGTAAAATAGAAGTGTATTCGTTATATCCTTGCTAACTGCGCAAATTGTATGGAAAAGTCCTGTATTACAGCTGCTTTGTAACCTGATAAATGACATCACTCCACGTAATTGTAACACTAGCATGAATCAACTAGGCAGCTCGATCATAAACCCTAGTCGCTTGGCTTCTTTTTGTTTATGATTCCAATTGTTTCTCTTTTCTTGTCTATTCTCTCCATTCTACTACGCTATATATTACACTACACTCACTACACTACGTCGCAACTATTTACATTTGTCTACATACGTTTATATTTCTTACTAGTTGTGTCTATTGCTATCCTCCATGTCTTTTCATCGTCATACGCTGTCTGAAGGCAATCCAAGCTTACCCAATCAACCGTTTACTTCACTCGACAACCCTAACCCTTCTAATGAGCTGGCCGACTCTACCACCACCGAGCCACAAACCATATCGTCACTCACTGCAAACACATCACCAATCAGTACTGAAGATATCCCAAGTGTTCACGTATTAGCAGCTTCATTCCCCAACGACGAACCCTCTCATGTTCTATCCAGTAATGATGATTTGCCATTTACCTCGAGTGAAACCATAGGCCTGCCAGTTCCTGTTCTTCATTCTAGTCGTAATGAAGAGCAAAGTGGTCTACGTCAGTCTCTGGATACTTCATTTCTACGCTCTGCACTCGAACACTCTCTAGTCAATGCTGTGTACGCGCATCCACCAGAGGAGGCGCAAATATCTTCTTCCGATGCTGCTATCGTCAATGATACAACACCACTACTATCGGCATCTAGACGTTCGCGTGCCATATCAGCACCGGCACCACACGCCATGAGATCGCCATCATTGTCATCGAATCCGGCATCGATGGTGGGACAGCCCTCTATGCAATCTAACGTGCCACCACCCGTACCCTCAGCTGTACATCGATTAGGAGGCGGTGCTGCTTACGCGTCAGCTCAGTCAACTCGACCATATTCTGGAATATCATCTCGAAATGACTACTCTACCAGTCGTGTCAATCCATCGACATCTCGCCCGTTACGTCCACCTGCTTCCGCTTATCTGCCGTACAATCCATACTTGGCCGGGTTAAGTCGTCCTGCATCGCGAGCCATCAATCACTCCCCTTATCTGCAATATCCTGATCGCTCTCGACCGGCTACACCGCCCTATGAGGCATCGAATATGCGTGTAAATCCAACGGCAGCCTCATCATCATCATCGGCCTTTCCCGCTCAGTCGTCCTTGTGCACACATTGTCATAGTAACTTGTCTAATGGTAATCAGCCATCTGCAACGACATTCAACGTGCATGATGGATCGTCAAATACTGACACGACTAATGCAAAGAATCCCGCCAGCAACATTGATCATGAGCACAGCAATGATAAAGACACGGCTAGAGACGGTCCACGTATTGCTGCACCTGTGCCAAGAGAAGCATCCGTGTTTCATCCTCCTTATATAACATCACCGTTGGTTAATGTCACCGATGTACATCAGCATTATCCTCCTCATCCTCATCCTCATCCTCATCCTCAGCAATACTATCATCCGCATTTGCAACAACAACATCATCATCCTCCTTATCATGGTCATGCATATACAGGTGATCCCACTGCCACCGATCTAGCCTATGAGTTGAGCCAACATTAT